CAGTGCTTTAAAAAAATTCCCACCATATCCATTTTCCTCCTCTCTGTAACTTACTGTCACCAACATGTGTATAATACATGATGAATATGTCATTTTTGTTCAACTCTTCTCTGTTTCCACGTGAGGGATGTGAGCTCCGTGGAGACCTGGCTTTATGTCTGTTGCCTTCATTCCTCTCTCATGGTGCCTACAGTAGTGCCTTGTGCATAGAGTGGTTCAGATACGTGAAGACAGATGCGGGAATGGGCTCATTCTCTCCTCATCGCTCTCTCTAGAGGGGCCAGGGTCATTTCCATTTTATGAGGCCCAAGGCTGAGGGAAGCTGGGTAACTGTGTCACAGAGCTGGTTAGGGTGGATTCTGAATTCTAAGTCAGATCCTGCTGATTTCCAGTCCCATAATCTTTCCATTTCACTGAAGGAGAATGGTGGCCCCAGTGGCATCTAGAGTGGCCTTGTACTGGTTTTAAAAGTCAGAATTTTCTCCGTTAAATATACTTTATGGGGAGATGGCTCAGTTGATAAAGCCACACTTGGACCTGAGTTTGATCCCCAGAGCCCATGTTAAAAAGCCAAGCGTGGTAACTTATATCTACAACCCTAGAACCAGGGAGGTAGAGACAGGCAGATCCCAAGGGCTCACTGGCTAGCCAGCCTAGTGGAATCAGCAAGTTCCAGGTTCAAGGAGAGGTCCTATCTCAGCAAACGTGGTGAAGCACTCCTGCGGCATGGTATGCAAGGTCGTCTCTGACCTCCACATGTGTTATTTAGCCTGTCTATACCAGCAAATCCTAACAAGTGAAAGATTCGGGCACATTCCCACAGTGTTGAGAATTACAGTCTGAGGACAGGCCTTGGAGGCATCCAGTTTGTCTATGAATTGTGTTATCATGTTCAGTGCATTTCTATGTGTTGTTTGATTCTCCTAGTCCCTGAGGCAGGTCCTGTTATTGTCCCATCTCTCAGGCAAGGAAGCTGAGATTCAGAGAAGCTGGGGGACTACCCAATGCCACACAGCCTCATTTGCTACTTTTATCATGACTACAATCTGCGACAGAAACAATGGAAGGGAACAGGATTTAGTTTGGCTTGTGGTATCAGAGGATTTCAGTCCACTGCAGTGGGGAGGCCTGAAGGAGGGTTTGGTGGGGACCTCCTCACATCATGGACCAGGAAGCATGGGGCATGACAGGAACCAGGGCTTGGCTATAACCTTCAAAGGCCCATCCCTTATGAATCACTTCATCCATCCAGGCCCCAACTCCTGGAGGCTAGCTATCAGCTAGAGGCTGAGCATTTAAAGTGTTGGTTTGTGGGGACATTCAGAGTCTGCTCAAGCTGAGCCAGGTAATCTGACCATAGTGCTGGCTTTTAGTCACTGGGCTGAGGGAAAAGGGGACCCTTATAAGAACTAAGCTCTTACCCATCTTTTCTCACTGTACTGATTCATGGTGACCCAACAAAGGAAGGTCCTGACTGTCAAAGACACTCCTATGTCATGGTATTGGGGAGGCCAAGATCCTGGGTTTAAATCCTGGCCTTGAACACATCTTCATCTGTGCCTGTCAGTATCCTCATGTGCATAGTAGGAACCAAATGAGCCTTTTCACCGAACAAAACATGAAACACCCCCAACCGAGCAAATAGGCAGAGGAGGACGATGAAGCTAGATCTTAATAGTCTTTTTTTTTTTTGAAGACAGATGTGCTACCCCTGTAATCCTAACACTCAGGAAGCTGAGGCTAGGGGACTGTGAGTTTGAGGCCAACCTGGGCTAATAAGGAAATCTTGTCTCAAAAAAGTAAATAAAACAAAATAAAGATGTGCAGAGACCCTTCTGGAAGTTTCCACAGTCAAACACTGTCAGGGGTGATGGCTGGCTGGGCTTTACAGCACTGCCCTGTTCCTCATCCTGATGTTCTATAATTTTGTTCTATAATGAGGATCTGATAAAAAAAAAAGAGTCCTCAAAACTCCACCTTGTTTTGATTTCAAATGAGGTCTCGAGTCAGGGTTGCTGTGAGCACTTGGCAAACTGTCAAACACACTGCGGTAAGTGCCTGTGACAGTCACTAAAGTAATTATTGTCATTATTACTGGTTGGCTATGAGTTGGAATTTCTTTTGCCTGAGTTTCCTTCCTGGGCCCCTCATGGGCACACTCCTGGGAGGACCACCCACCCAGCCCCTACCAATTCTTCCCCTACCAACACTGGCTGTGTGTGTGTGTGTGTGTGTGTGTGTGTGTGTGTGTGTTCCTTTCCCGCTCTTGTGTGTGTCTTTTATTTTCTTTTTAAAATTCTTATTGATGTATTAACATTTTTCTTTTCATAGCACTGAAGATTGAACCTAGAGCCTCATGTATGCTAGACAAGTGTTCTGCTGTGAGCAACACTTCCAGCTCCCTGAAAACATTTTTGATTGGCACATAGTAATTTGATGTATTTATGATGAACTGTGTGACATCATGTATCATATTCAAATCACGTCATTAGATATCCATCACTTAAAACATCTATCAGGCTGGGGAGATAGCTCAGTGGGTAAGAGCACTTGCTATGCAAGTAGGAGGACCTGAGTTCAAATCACCAGCACCCATGGGATAAGCCAGGCAAGGCTCCCTATGTACCTTTAACCCCAACTCTGTAGAGGGCAGAGACAGGATCATTGGAGCTTGCTGGCCACTAGCTGGGAACCAAACATTAGAAATGTGAGTCTGTGGGGGACATTCATGTTCAAACTGTAACCTGTGGGACCAGCTGTCCCACTGCCACTAAGGAAAAGACTAGAGAAAAGACTCAGCAAAGTGATCAACCACCTTAGAGGCCATGGTATCTCGGGGCCCTTTGTGTTGGCATCTCTGTCCAGAGGTGAAGCCAGGCTTCACCATCCTTCCCCATAGTTTGTATCCTTCCAGTCAGCTCTGTACCACACTGCCCATATCACTGACAAGTGAAAATGTTAATATATCAGCAGATCTTTAAATGTGTCTGATTCAGCTCCTATCCAGTGTGGAAATCCTCAATTCATGTTTATTATGGTGGTTGCCTTTGAAACCATCTCCATTCTTTCTGACAAACTTTCAGAAGACTTAAAAAAAAAAACCCATGATATGAACAAATCAACCCTTCCTGCCCCCAGACCTCAGCCCCCTGGTCCCTCCGCCTGGGGTCCTCCGCCTGGGGTGCCTACTATTCATGATTGGCCTGTGGACCCTTCTTGTTCTTGTCAGCTTAGCCCTCCTCCCTCTCTCCCTCCATGGCTCCCTTGATTCCTCCCTCTCTTCCTCTTTCTTTTACAGTGCTGGGGATCCACCCTAGGGCCTCCCACATCTTAGGCAAGGGCTCTAGCATTGAACTTCATCCTCAGCCATTTAATTTCTTCACTGAACTGTTCAGCTTTGTTCTTGGTTATTTGAGCCTGGGTCTTGCTGTGTCAGTGGAGCTAACTGAAGTTTCTCCTTGGAGTACCTAAAAATTTACAGACAGTTTTAAGAAAGATGCAGAGCCATCCCTGGTAGACTTCACTCATGTTCTCTTACTGGTTACATCTTGCAAAATGATAGACTCAGCCAGGATGTTGATAGAGACGCAGTCTGCTGATCCTATCCTGATGTGTCCAATGTTGCTTGCATTTGAGTGTGTGTGTGTTTCCATGTGCATGTGCAGTTCTGTGTAAAGTCCACACTTGGGTGGGCTCATGTATTGATAATCACAGTGAAAGCACCAGTCTCCGGAGCATCTCTTGCGTTATTGTCTTAGAGTCACCTTCTCTTCCTCCCGTCTCCTTGTCCCCCCATCCCTAAGCCTTGGCAACCATGTCTAAAAGGCTGTCATTTCTAAAAGGCTGTGGAAATGAAGTCAATGGCATGCAGCCTTTAATGCCAGACCTTTTCTCTTGATATGTTCCCCGGAGACCCGCTGGCTTGTGTGCAGCAGTGCTCAGCTCCTTCCTGTAGCCAAGTAGCGTCATGAGGTGTGTGTGGACTGTATCTAGCCACCCACCATCACTGTGCACCATACACTGATTCCTTCCTACCCTACCCCCTGCCTCCGGCACTATAACAATGCAAAAGGCTTCCAGGGGCATGTCCACTTGTCTATCAAGTCTGGTTTGCAAAGTATATGCTCAAGATCATGACTTAGTCTGTGGTGCCCTCTCCAAGCACAATGCTTGGTGCATAGTTGGCACTCAGAGAATGTTGATGAATGCATGGGTGAGTCCTTGGCAGCATAGTTCTAGAGCCTGTGCAGTGGCTGAGTGGGTGGTCAGAGAAAGGCAAGGGGGAACTGGATTCTGTGGACTCAGTGTATCTTATGGTAGAGTCATAAGGGACACATAAGCCACATAGGGAAGAGTTGCCCATGGAAATCCTTTAAACCACCTTGACACAGTTGAGATGTCGGGAATCTTAAAGAACAAGGCTTAACTACCTGCTTTACTGAGCATGGGGGTGTGGCCAGGAAGCAGTGGACATCAAGGGTGTTACATGGGGGAAAAGAAGCAGGGCTAATGAAGAAACTTCAGAGTGTTTCTGGAAGACTAAGTGGGCATGGCTAGACTTTGTAAATGTGCCTGTGATGTAACATGCATATCCTCTAATGTGCGTGTGGGGTACAAGGTGGACTGTGTATAAGAAACAATGTGCATGTGGTATGTAAAGATGGGCTAATATGTGTCTGATGTGACATATGTGTGCTATAGTGTACTTATATACAGCATGCATGTGATGTAATGTGTGTTCTGTGTGTGGTGTACATGTGCTACACTGCATACAATAGGGCCTATACATAGTGTCAGATATGTATTGTGCACAGTACATGAGATGTCATGTGCACAACATGGAAGGTACACACGATGCAGTGTGCTGTGGTGTAACGTGTCTACAGTATAAGGCACATGGTGTGACATACCTGTGGTAAGGTGTGGATGGTGGATCTCTGCATAGGTGTAGCTCACCTGTCTTTCTCCTGACTTATCTCTGTACCTTTGTTCCAACTCAGGAGGAAACCTCTCCAAACAAGACTGGACCATTCAGTGGCCCACCACAGAGACGGGGAAGGAGAACAACCCTGCATGTCCCCTGGAAACCAGCCCACGGATCCGTACCCACCTCTCCCAGAGCCCCAGGGTCCAGTCCAAGTGTGCCCAGCACTTCTGCCACACTAGCTCTACACCTGGGGCCCCTGTGTATACCCACGTGGACAGACTCACTGTGGATGCCTACCCGGGCTTGTGCCCACCACCACCCCTGGAGTCCGGGCATCGGTCCCTGCCGCCATCACCCCGGCAGCGGCATACAGTTCGCACCCCACCTCGTACCCCAAATATTGTCACCACCGTGACTCCACCCGGCACACCACCCATGAGGAGGAAGAACAAGCTGAAACCCCCAGGGACACCACCGCCTTCCTCCCGGAAGCTCATCCACCTGATCCCAGGATTCACGGCGCTACACCGGAGCAAATCCCACGAATTCCAGCTTGGGAACCGAGTGGACGAGGCCCACACACCCAAGTGAGTGGGGTCAGGGGGTACTTGGAGTAGTTGAACATCAGGAGCTACTTCCCTGGGGGTGTCAAGACTGTTTGTGGCTCTGGTGGAAGGAAAAGAGGCTTTGTTCTGAGAATTCTGACAGTAAATCAGATAGAACTTCCCAGAATTGGTCATTGAAAAAAAAATGCTATTTAATATTCTTGAGTGTTGGTTTGCAAATAATGGCTCAGGGCTATATCTGATGGTGGCCTGTTTTTGTAAACAAGACCTATGAGACATGCCTAACTACTTCCTTTAGCGGTGTCTGTGTTTGCTCTCTGAAACAGGTAGGTGAATGGGTATGGCTGTGTTCCAGTAAAACTTTATATATAAAAACGTGTGCCAGGCTGGATTGGATTGTGGTTTGTCCTGAGTCCTGGTAGAGGATGTGAAGAGAGCCTCCCTCTTCCAAGGTGCTGAGGAGGGGAAGATGGGATTGTCTGAGGGCTGTTCTAGCAGTTGTAGGAAACCTAACCCAGAGATAACATATTTGGCCTCTCAGAGGTCGAGGCAGTAGAAAGATGCTTTTGGGATTGGGGTTGGGTGATATTCATGGCTTCTGAGAGTCACAGAGGTTGAAGATGCTGAGTCCTGAGGTGAAGATGTGGGAGAGAGTCACAGGAAGGCTGGGGGAGCAAATGCTAAGATGGACAGTGGGGAGGGGCCTGAGGTCTGCCTCACCCCTTTCCTGTGTACACCTGGAAGTAGCTTTTTTCTCATCCACCTGCGGGGTCTCTGGATCTATATTTTTGTCAGCATGGTTGGGGCTGAGTGTGAGAGGCTGCCCTTTGCATTTTCAAGGCTGATCTCTCCTTGTGAGAGCCTTTGTCTGGATAAACTGAATCATCTGCTTCCTCAAGGTCTTCCAAATGGACACAGTCACCTTCAGTGGTGCTAAAAATTCCACATCAGGATCCAGGAGGGTTAGCCTTGCACATGAACTGTCCTCTGACTGGGTTAGTGAGCTCAGAGCTTCTTCAAGGAAGATATCCAGGTTTCTTGGTGAAGTCAAGGTGTACCTCAAAGAAGCAGCCGAGGGGAGGAACATTGTGGTCACTTTGAGATGTGGACAGTGCCATTGGACCCTTGGCTGGGCACTGTGCACTGAAATTCACAAGGATATCTGAGTGCTTGATTTTGAATGTAAAAAATAATACAAAATAGGCTTTGGGTGTGCCTCAGTGGTAGAGCACTTACTTAGCATGCATGAGAGCCCCTCCCTCCCAGTTCCATTTTCAGCACCACAAGAAAACAAAGACATCCCAAGAGAGTATGGTCAGACAGGACAGTGGGACGGAGATGTTTCGACCAGGAGGATTCAGGAAAAGCTTATTAGGGAAGCATCTGCTAAGTCCAGTTCTAATGACTAGACTTGTAACAACAGCCCACACCTAGCTTTGTCTGAGCTGGTCTTGCTTCTGCCAGGAAGTAGCCTTGGGACCTTGGCTTTGACCTTGCAGAGGCTTAGCTCTCCCATCCATGGACCAAAGGGCTTGAAATACGCTTATGTTTTAAAATCTGAGGTTATGAGCCATTAATGGAAGGTAATGGTATTATTTAACTGGCTGTGACCAGCATCTGAAAGATGGAATCTACTGGCTAAGGGAGAATAGATTGGGGGACAGCACAGGACCGAAGGGTTGGCACTGCTTTGTGGGCTTGTTCTCACTGATACAGACACGGACACACACATGAACACATACCTGCATACATACATACACACATTATATAGTTATATACACAAATACAGACACACATATATACACACACATACACAAGCATATATAGATACAGACATACACACATGTACACACATATATGTACACAAGACATATATATATAGATACAGCTATAAACGTACACACATATACAGACACATATACATACATTCACACAGACATATATACACACAGACACAGACATATATACACATATCTATACAGACACATATACACACATACAGACATGCATACAGATACATATATATACCTATAGATATACACACATACACATATACACATACATAGACATATACTCACAAATATACAATACACACAGAAATATACATATATGTACACACATACACACATATGCACACATGTAAACAGACATATACACATAAAGACATACATATACACATACACATGGAGACAGAGATGCACATACATATACATGCATGTTTACAATACAATACACATACAGACACACATGTACATACATAGACACATGTAAATATAGAAATACATGTACATGTACATGTGTATACACACATATACCCATGTATATACAGACATGCACATATACACATATGTACCTACACACAATACATATGTACAGACACATAAATATATACACACATACACATTTATACACATGCATCTATACACATAAGGCATACGTACATATATATGTACAGTCACATGCATGCATCACACATATGCATATGTACACATATATGTACGTGCACACATACATATGTACAAGTGTACACAGATATACACACAAACACCATATGTATGCATGTATACACATATATGCATATGCACACATGCACACATACATATACACAGGCATACACACATACAAACATACACACATTTGTGCACACATACACACATAAATGTATGCATACAAATACAGACATACACACTTGCATGCACATATGTATGTATATATATTCAGACACCTATATACATCTATGCATACACATGCAGATATACATATATACACACATATACATGTATACACACATACATATATACACATAATATGTACATATACATATATCTATAGACATATACCATACACACATACAACATATATACATATACAGATATACACACATATATACTCATACATGCACACATATACACATATATAGATACATGCACATACAGATATACACACATATATACTCACACATACATACACACATATATAGATACATACACATACAGATATACATACATATATACTCACACATACAGATATACATGCACACATATACTCACATACATGCATCCACACATATGTGCACACACTACACACATGCACATATATATCAACTATAGATGCACCTTTTCTGTTTTCTTTTTTCCTCCATGGACTCGTCCTATTGGGGACATCTTTGGTTCTAGAATGATCTCCACAGGACGCAGGTGAGAGGGCATGCAAAGCCAACCCTTGCCCTGTGGATACATCTGAAGGTTCCTACACAACTGTTCTACACATTCTGGCTTCTGCAGTTGGTTGTCTTCCCTCCAAGGCTGGCTTATCTTTCCTTCCCTGCAGCCCCACTGGACGCTGTCCCCACTGGGCGCAGTCTCCGCTGGGCACAATCTCTGTTGGACACTCAGCAGCCTTTAACCCACCTTTCTTTCTTCTTAATGGGGCTGAGGTGGACTTTTGGAAGTCACAAGCTTTTCAGTGCAGGAACAGAATCTTTTAAAACTGCTGGTTTCCAGGACTTTTCGGGTAGCACAGGTGTTTTAGTCTTGGCATTGCGAGGTGCAAGATGACAGTGTTTATCGGGTGGCCTGGCTGGGCCTTAGTCCTGTCCAGTTAGTGGGCCGTTCCAGTTCCAAGATGAGCAGAGTCAAAAAACAAGGAAACAGACCTGGGATGTGATTCAGTGGGTAGAGAGTCTGCCTAGCACACATGCAGCCCTGGGCTCTATCCCCAGCGCCACATAAACCAGGTGTGGTGGTACACGCCTGCCATCCTAGCATTCAGGAGGTGGAGGCAGGAGGATCAGGAGTTCAAGGCTATCCTTGGCTACATAATGAGATTGAAGCCAGCCTGAACTCCAGCACGGTCAGAGCAGCCTGGACTGGCCGTCTTCATCTTCACTTGTCCTCTGTGTGCGTTCTTCCCCTGGTTTTTATTTGCATGTAAGTGTGTGGCTTTATTCATTGATATTACCAAAAGACATATGCACATGTGAAAAGAAGGCTCTGTTCACAGACGTAGTGAGTGCTTCCTTATTGTGGAAGTTTAAACAAGCCTGAAGAGCATCAAAAAGAGGACAGGGCACCGTGGTTCTCTTCTTTACTTTGCTGTTCTCTTTTAAGCTTGTATGTGTGTATGTATATATGTATGTATTCAAATGCCATGGTATAATGGGGTCAGAGGAGAACTTTTGGGAGTCGGTTCTCTCCTTCCATCCTGTGGGTCTTAGGACTGGAACTCAGCTTGTCAGGCTTCACAGCAAGCACCTTTGAGTCACCAGTCCAGCCTTCTTGTTTTCTACACATAGATCCAGTATCTTCATAGAGCACAAATTTTTAACCTGAAGAGACAAAGACTGGCTCTTGAGGGAGGTGGAAAAGTATCTTGGGTTTTCTGATACCCAGTGGTTCCCAAAAGAGTTGGAATGTGTAAACGAATATATATCTATGGCATTAAATTTTAAAAATTGTTTTAATGCATGTTTGTGTGTTTATTATAATTTTATATACTTAATGGGGGACAGTGTATAATTTGATGCATCATACAATGTACAATGAACAAGGCAGGGTTGTTATTTCTGTCTTGATAATTGTACACACCATGGTCAATGTCTGGAGTCAACCTACACCCATCAACAGACAAGTGAGTAAAGAGAATGGTGAGTGAGTGAGTGTGTGTGTGTGTGTGTGTGTGTGTGTGTGTGTGTTTAACATGGAAAATCATTAATTATTCAACCATAAAAAAGAAAGGCCTCCTCTCATTTGTAGCAAAATGTAACATTAACATTTCATTGGGAGTAGGGAGAAAACCGGAAATGAGTCGTAAAGAGGCTGTAATGAAGACAGGTTGGGAAACGCTGACATAGGTCTTTGATGTAATTCCACAGACACAGTTAGACATAGACAAAGACTTCCTCAAGACTCATGTTTTTTTGTTTTGACATCCACGATCCTTTCCTGTCACAGAGACAAAGCAAAATGCAGTCGCTGAATCCCTCCAAGTGCACAGGGCTGGCTGGTACTGGGGATGGAGTC